TAAACTCTGGTCTAAACTTTATTTATTTATTTAGTTTTGACATTTCTCTCAGCCCATTTTTGAGTTAATAGTATCATCCGGGAGCTTATAATAACGACAAGTCCAAATTGACGTGACGAATATTTAGAAGGCAATAATGCGGAAAGATATCAATATTCTCCACGCCTAAATGGATTGGAGGATAGATTAAAGCCGCAAGCCCATTTGTTTGATTTGCTAACCCACCCATATCTGTATGCCGATAATTCTACTTCTGCAGGCAGATCTGGTTTCCTGTGAACCGATGTAACAGATAAACAAATATGTTGTTTCTTTATGTTGCATTTGCATATGACACATTAATCAAAACCGTCCCAGCTTTTTCGATCTCCCCACTGTTAAGCATGACTGCAAACGTCTACTTGCAACGAAGCCCTGACGAATGGGAGATATACTTTAACTACCTTTACTTAAAGATGAGGGTCTACGTTCTTCTAAAATCAGGAACTAAACAATGAAAAAAAGTGTATTAAAAACTGTGTTTTATTTTTCAAAACCTCATTGCTTATAGGTGATTCCTCCTAGTTTGTTTGAATCAATAAAACAGCGGGTAACTATAGCTCAAAATAAACAATAATCTCAAATTCACGGTAAAATTAGTGCTACGCATGTTTAATGGTGCACGTTGCTTGTAAACTGATTGGTTAAATCGTTTGATTTAGGTTTCATGTAAGGCAGAAAATATACTCTAACACTAGAACGTGTGCTAGCTGTCCGGCCTAGATACATGATGTATACGCGCATACAAATTCAAATGTTAGTAGACGACCCGCTTGTGACCGACCATTGTTGCAATGGACCAGCCGAATAGCAAATTTTTTGTCTCCATTTGCCCCTCCTTCATAAGCGATTTGGATAACCAAAGGACCAACTTTCCACTGTTTTGTATAGATTCTGTTGGTTTCACAGCATTGTTAGGCACGGGAAAATTACATACACAAGACGATCCGGTACGAGAGAATAGTCTAAATAGACGGCAAGCAATACCACACTGCCGACGATCCCAAATATGTTTCCGGTAAGCTCGAAAACATGTGCTAACTTTACCATGGTAAATCTCC